TAATATCGTATCTTAATATTAAAAGGTAATAAATTAATAGAATATAGGAAAAAAAACAAGAAAAAAAATAAGAAACAGCTCTGAAGTAAGAACTTGTAGAACCGGTTCTTACTAATTTAAAACAGCTATCTTTTAGTTAATGAGTCCATATAATAGTTTAAATAAATAAAATCAAAATATTAATATTTTATAGTTTACAAACTCAGTCTAAATTTCTTACAATTGGAAATGGTCTAAAATTTTTTAAATAAGAAATGGTTGTCTCTCTCTTCTTCTTTTTTTTTAGTAATTTTTTATTGTTTTCTTCCAGGTGATTTACTGTTGACTTGCTTAGCTCGCGTCTAGAGATTGTACTACCTGATTCTCTCCTTAGTTTCCAAGAGATTTTGCTCTCTCATTGCATGCATCGCTTGAGCTTTACCAGTCCCGAACACTCTTATGTCGCACCGAGAGTTGTCTTTATGTGTGCTTTCATTTCAGTTCTCGTTCTAACGCATGTTGGGTGACTCTATGTCGAAGACCAACTCAAATCCCTAGCCCTAACCCTAACCATAGCCCTAAACCTAAACCCAAACCTACCTGTCGTTGGTTCACTTCATGCTTTAAACCAACGAATCACACTACGAAGGAAGAGAAGAAGTCGAGCGACAATCTTATGATCTCAGTCCCAAGACTTCCAACTCACAGATTTTGTTCTCAGCGTTGGTTAACTCCTGCCTAATCGGTTCTTATATCTACACAATTGGGGAATACATCAAGTGCGCATTCTGGTCTAGAGTCTTTGTTATAGACTGTCGGTCTCCCACTTGGCACCAATATCCAAACACACGGATTGCCCGAGAGAGGCCCCTTGTGAGTGTTCTTGATAGAAAATATATGTAGTGGAAGGTTTGAACAATTGTGGTTCCTCGGATTTAATGAAGATTTTCGATCCGGAAACCCAAATTAAACATGGAAGCAAGTGACATACCCTAGAGAAGAGATACTTAGCAATAAGCTTAGCTTAGCAATTCATTAATAAGCTTAGCAATAAACGAAAAGGTTTACCTGTTTGAGGATAAAAGTATGGTTTACAATCCCACGAAAAATAAATAAGATGTGGTAAGAATCGAGACGTGTTTTGCTGGGGTCCTTATAGATGGTCTTGCGTAGTAAAAAAACATAATAGCCACAACAAAATCATGACTATGTCGTGACTTTTCTAAAACAAGTCACGAAAAAGCCACGAAAAGTCACGTAAATGGAAAAAGAAAGAAACATGACAATTTCATGGCAAAGTAGTCACGTTGTAGTCACACAAACTGGTGTGACAAGGTTAGGCATCAATAAGCCACAAATATTTTGTGGCAACATAGTTAGGAAACAATATCAGTGACAACACTGTGGTAAATTTAGTTACGATTAGGTCACGCCAAAAGCAGTGGTCATATTAGCCATGCTTTAGCCACTATAATTTTGTGGCAACCTTGTCACGAACAACATATGTCATAAAATCATGGTAAATTTTATCATGGTTTATCCACGTTAGCTGTCGTGACTATATCCACCAAGGGTGCTGCACCGAAAACATCTTGTCAACCAATATGGCAGGTCGAATATATTCAAAAATTGATGAACAATAACAAATTATGGCTATTCTGTAGGATATTGTCACGTTTTAGTCACAAAACTACCGTGGCAAACCAAAATAATTGTCCAACATGAGTTCCCCTTCCACAAACTTCTACCAACCAAAAATACAGAGCGAATATATTCGATTAATAGTCACGAAAATGGATTGTTGCTTGGCGTGGCTAAAATTATCTATAAGCAAACTCAGTTCTCGTTCATTTGAATCATTCATCTCATTTTATCATCTAAACACTATATATCCTCTTTTTTTTTCCAATATTTTCATTTCTATAAAGTAAATTTACCAAAATATCTCACTTTTTCCAATCGAGAGAGTGGATGAGTCAAAATATTGATACCAAAAAAATTGTGTATCGGAAGAGTTTATGGAGGGAATAAATGTTTTTTTTTTACTTTTGCTTGTAATCAAGAATCTTATCAAGAGCTTAACACTTTATTATGTCCTTGTGCGCGGTTCAAGAATCGGAAGCAACGTGATGCAAGTACTGTATATCGCCATCTTTTTAAAGTGGGATTTAAGAGGAATTACTATGTTTGGTCGAGCCATGGTGAAAGTTGTTATGATGTTGGTGATTCTTCAACAGCTGGTCATTTTCTCGGGCAAGCAGCAACGTGGGATGAGCAAGCAACAAATTTTTCAGTTCCGGCTGATGCATGCGAGCATTATCTAAATGCAAATGTGAATGTGGGAGAAGTTGTGCCATTGGAAAATTGTTCGAGAATACCAAGAGCCTTATCATAATAGTGTTTTTCAAGCTTTTGAAGCCGCCAATCAACCTCTTTATGACAGCTGTGTAGAAAGAATTTCTCAGTTATATGTTGTTTCACGTATGATGTAATCAAAATCTGACCACAATATGTCAGCGGCATGTGTATATGAGATGTCACAGACTTTGAAGAGTGTTCTCCCGAAGCCAACCACTGCTCCAACATCATACTATGAGACGAAGAAGCTAACAAAAGAGCTTGGGCTACCAGTGCATAAGATTGATTTTTATGCGGATAATTGCATGCTTTTTTTGAAAGGACGAAGATCGAGATCTATTATGTTGTCGATTTGTAGTAAATGCAGATACCACCCGAACAATGGCACGAGAAAAAAATTGAGCTAAGCAAAGAATGTTATACATTCCACTGGCGGAGCGATTGAAGCGGTTATACCAATTAAATGCTATTGCATCTCATATGCGATGGCACGCTGAACATGTCTCACCTGATGGAGAAATGCATCATCCGTCTGATGGAGCAACATGGAAGCATTTTAATAAGGTGTATCCTGATTTTGCAGCCGAATGTCACCATATTTATCTAGGCTTATCAACAGATAAATTTAATTCTATTGATATGAATGGCAAGGCACACTCAGTTTGGCTAGTGATCGTAACTGTATAATTTACCTCCCGATATGTGCATGAAAAAAGATATTTCTTTCTATCGGTACAAGTTCCTGTGCCAAAATACCCGAAGAAAAGTCTTGATATTTACCTTCAGCCGTTGATTGAAGAATTACAAAGTTTGTGGAGCAATGAAGTGGTAGCGTATGATATATCAAGAAAGCAAAGATTCACAATGCAAGCTGCCTTAATGTGGACCATCAATGACTTTCCGGCGTACGCCATGTTGTCTGGTTGGATGACACATGGCCGTTTAGCGTGTCCATATTGTCTAGATGACACAAAATCGTTTTGGTTACATAATGGAAGGAAGCACAGGTTTGTTTGACTGCCATCGAATGTTTTTGCCGGAAGAAATTCTTATAGGGGAAATACTCAAGCATTTAGCTAGAATAAGTCAATAAGGAAAGATCCTCCACCGTGGTTAACTGGTGAAGAAATTCTTCGAGAAAGAATACAACTTTGTGGGGTTGTCCAAAACAGTCGTTTGTGGAGGAAACGGACACGAAAAGCCCATTCGAACTATTTATGGCTACGGAAAGGATCATAATTGGGTGAAAAGGAGTATTTTCTAGGAGTTACCGTTTTGGGAAAATCTTCTTCATCAACCCAACCTCGACTTCATGCATGTGGAGAAAATTTTCTTTGATAATCTCATCAAAACGATGTTAAATATTCCAGGAAAAACAAAAGACAACATCAAGTCGAGGTTGGATCTCCCTGGTTTGTGTAAAAGACGTGAGCTGCATCTTAAAGAAGATGGTACAATACCTATGCGAATATTTTGGATCTCCAACGAAGGTAAAAAACAATTCACTTCATGATTGAAAAATGATATAAGATTTCCAGATGGTTATGCCTCAAAGTTTAGTCGTTGCATTGACGAAGACAATTTAAAGGTATCGGGTCTATCAAAGTCATGATTGCCATGTCATCATGTAACGACTTCTCTCATTTGCGTTTACAGGACTCCTTCCAAGAAATGTGCACACTGCACATTCAGGTAACGGCTTTTCCCATTTGATATTTCTGGTAACGGCTTCTCCCATTTAACTAATATTATTATATATTTGTAGAGATAGTATTATTCTTGCGGGATAACTCATCAAGGACTTTACGAGATGAGGATGTTGCTCTTTTGAAATTAAATATCACGGTAAAACTTTGTAATCTAGAGAAGATATTTCCTCTGTCATTCTTTGATGTCATGGAGCATCTCTGGTGCACCTGCAAGATGAAACTGCTTTTGGTGGTCCAATCCAATATAGGTGGATGTATCCATTCGAGAGATACATGTATCATCTGAAGAAAAAGGTTAAAAACAAGGTGCATATAACAGGTTCGATCGTTGAACATTGTTTAATGAGGATATTCCGAATGCATGCACAAATTATTTTAGAAATCCCAAAGTTGTACACGAAACTGCAGTTCCCGGAGAGATTTGATTTACATTTTACTATCCAAAGGTGCCAAGCTTGTTCTACCATGAAGGCAAAGTTAGTGGAAAATCCACAACTAGATAGTTGACAGATGAAGACTACATCGTGCTACAGACGTTTAAGGTTCTTAATTGTGACACATTTCCACCATATGAAAAGTATTATTTTTACTTTACAAATATTTGATTAAGATATAATCATTATTATAGTTGTGTGACTATATAATTTCATAAATTAGACATGATGTTTGAAGAGTATATGACAGAGCGTAACTGAATAAGTACTAGTAATGCACTGCAATTAGCGAAAGACCAACAATTGGCAGAATGGTATATGATTATGTGAGTTTAATAAAGTTGTTTTCTTTGTTAATTATTATCAGCAAAATACGAGTATCTAAATATCATTGTATTTGCAGATTAACAAGGCTACCAAATCATATGAATTTCCTATGTGGATGTTGGATTTTGTTCAAGACCTGAGAAGAAATTATACATCTTGGCCTATATAATCGTCACGAGGATACCGCTTTCACATGCATGCCCATGGCCAAAATAAGAAAACTCAACACTATGGTGTATATGTTGAGGGAACCACTGATGCTGATAATTACAGGCTTATAGAAGATATTTTGACGATCGAGTATCATGGTGCCGTTGGGCTTAAAGCCATGATTTTCAAATGCAAGTGGTTCAACACTATAGAAGGCCGTGGATTTCGCAAACATCCTTCTGGTATCGTCGTTGTGTCTCTGCGTAGACAATATGAGAAATATGATCATTTTATATTATCTGGTAATTGTGATCAAGTATGTTTTATTCTTTATCCACACGTTCGTCGTTCCTCATCTGATTGGTGGGCCTGTACAAAAGTTATGCCACGAGATTCTCGTGAAACTTCTGAAGTAGCTCTACAAGCTGTACAAGACGATACACACAACCACTTTGTAGCAGCAAGTGCAATGATACAAATCGAAACGCATGACGTGGAAGATGCTTCCGATTATGATATGCAACCCGTATGTCCTCCAAATGATGAATACATATCAGAAGATAAATTAGAAAATTCAGCTAATGACTCTGATTCTGATACAGATTATGGTTGTGGTTCTGATTAAGTATTATCATATATTTGAGCATATGTATAATTAAACTTTATTTTCTAAATATTATAATAAAACTGAGATTGTCTTAATGATTTCTTAAAATTATAAGACTACAATGTTAAATAAAATATAACTAAGTAAAATCATAAACTTTAAAATCATACATTAACCCTAAAACCAAACCTTAAACCCCAATATCAAACCATAATTTTTAAATTTTAATTTAAAACTTTATCCTCAAAATATTTCTAACACTTGCATAATTATGATGTTATATCCAAATATAACTAAACCCTTAAACTCAAATTCTTAATCCAAAATACAAACCCTAAACCCTAAACCAAAATTCAAACCTTAAATCCTAAATGTTTATTATATTTGTAAGCATATGTAAAATTAAATTTTGTTTTCTTAATATTATAATAAAGTTTAAATTATCTTAATGATTTATTAAAATTAGAAATTTATGGTTTAAACTAAAAATTAAACTGAAATTTATAATAAAATTAGGATTAAGCTAAATTATTTTTCTTGTTATTATAAAAGCTATCCTAAAATTTCCATATTATTTAGTTTCAGATTATAATTATGATTACTTTAATTTATTTCTAATTATAGATCATTAGATTACATTCTATACGCGCAGAATATGAAAGCGGATAAGCTAGCACAGATGGCTCATACTTGTCCTCATCGACTAAATTATGTAAACTCAATTCACCGGCTTGACTTACTGAGCCGTTGTAGAAAATATGACGCTGTTGATAAAAAAAATATCTAATTAAAATAACCTTTAATTATAAAACTTATTTAATTTTTTGATTAAACCATGCACAAAATTTGATTAAACCACCAAAATTCAGATTAAACCATTAATTTTCTGGTTTTCCTCCAATTTTTTTGGTTTATCCCATCAAAATTTGGTTTATCCCACCAAAATAATTCATCCCAAAATATTCGACCCAACACTTACACGAAAACAAACCCTTTGCCTCAAAATCGAATCGAATCCTCTTTCTATCTCTTCTTCTTCGTCTTCTTCCTCTCGAACCTTCATTCCTTCGTCTTCTTCCTCTTGACACCTCTCTCTATCTCTTATTATTTGTCTTAATCAATTCCTAAATCCTAAACAATCTCTTATTCTTTGCCTTCATTGTTTCCTAAACGATCTCTCTTCTCTCTTTGTCGATCTCTCTGCATCGATCTCTCTCAATGGCTCCTCGCCAAAACCGCTATAACCCAGTCACCGCCAATAACCACGACTCGGGTAAGTCTTCTCGATCTATAAACAATCAGGGTTTCTCGTTTTGCTTGAAATTTTGATAAGCTTTAGGGTTTTGATTTGAGGTTTCGAATTGAGTTTTGATTGGAGTTCGAAATGAGTTTTGATTTGGGGTTTTTCTTGCTTGAAGTTTTGACTAGAATCTGGCTTTCAATTGGCTCTTGCATGTGTTGTGTATGTGTTTACCTGTGACTAATTTTCATGAAACTGTCACTAATTTTTGAATATATTCATAAAACTGTCACTAAGTTACATAAAATTTCACTAATTTTTAAGCATTACTATGTGAGAAATAAGTGTTCTTATGTGTTGGTTCATACGAGTTGTTCTTATGTGTTGGCTCACATTATTGTTCTTATGTGTGAGTTTTGTATATGTGTTTAGCTATAATCTTGAGTGTGTGTGTGTTTACCATGAGTGAGTATGTTATTGTTCTTCACAGGAGTTAAGTTATGTTTTTGCTGTTTTGACAGGTCATGCCATACCACCAGGAACTATTAGATATAGAAGCTCTTCAGATCCTCACTCGCCATTAGGAGCTGTTGGATCTACAAGTGGTCCTGCCAAAACACCAAGCGCTGCATCTTCAGGTGCTAATAACTACAACCGCATGACCCTAGAAGCATTAATGAATGCTCCCTCCAGAAAGCTTCAGCCACACCTCCATCCAAGAAAACTCAATGGCGCTTTATGTTAAGTTCTCTAGAAAATCGAGTCCTCTTATTTCTTCTTATAATGTATTGTCACCTCTGATTCTAGGTCTTCTTATCTCAGGTTCGGTGTAGACCCCTCTATCCACAAATTCATCCAAACAACATGGAAAACCTACTACATGGGACCATGGAGTAACTGGAAATTTGTTCATGACGAGAGGAAAGAGAAGTGGTGGCAGACTTTTGTGGTAAGTGTTGTGCTTGTTTTTAAATTATTTTTAACTGTTGTTTACTTTTATGGTCATACAAATATTAATGTTCATTGTTTTCATTGTAGCAAAACTACTACTGGGAGGATCAATTTCAAGCCAAGTCTACGGTGGTCTTTGGAAGTTGCACACACAGACAACAATATGCCAAAAGATCAGCAAGAAGAAGAGACAGAACCAGAAGCCTAAGTACATAAGAGAATCTGACTGGACCACTCTGCTGGAGTTTTGATCAACAGAACCATCCCGTAAAAGGAGCAAGTCAGCGGCTTCATCTCACATGACACGCCATGGTGAGAAATGGATACACAAGCATTGTGCAGGTCCTCAAATTTTTTTGAAGATCGAATATGACATGGTAAGTGAATATCTTTCTCTCCCTTTTTCAATCTCTAATATGTTTATATTCTCAACTTATTTATTTATCTACATGTTTTCCAGATGGTGGAGCCTGCTCTTCATGAACCACCACCTTACACTGATCTTGTGCGTAAGACACACACGCGATCAGATAGAAGTTCCGTTGATGGTCGATCAGAAACTCTTGTCCTTGAAGTAGAGGAAGCCGTGGCAGAGATGACAGCTGATGATGGTTCTTCTAATTCTTACAGCCAAGACACCCCAACAACTGCAACATCTGCAGCTCCTACTCACATTCTCCTTAACCAAGAATTTCTCAAGGTAATCGACAATAACTCACGCATTGCTTTACTCGCCGTTTGATGATAATTAGGGAAATGGGTTTGGGTTTGTGTTGTGGCTCGACTTGTTGGCTATAATGGTTTTGTGTTTGTGATGTGACTCATTTCGACTTGTTTGTCTGGTGACTCGTTTTGAATTTTCATGTTAGCCATGTGTTTGTGTTGTTTCTCGTCTCGACTTGTGAGAATAAGAACTCGAGTTGCTATTTTGTAGTGTTTAGGAATGTGTTTTTAGACTGTGTTGTCTCTGAATTTGTATGTTTGCTTCTTTTTACAACGCAGCAAGATAAGCCGAGGGAGAGTATATGGAATAATGAATTTCTCTTGGTTTGATCTCCTTTTGGTTTGGTTTAGTGTGCAGCTTCGGGATTTCACTCCGACCAAGTCAGTCCATGCATCTCATAGACACCCCATCGACATGGTCATGCATATCTCCGGTTTGGAGGCTAATTCAAAAGCTGTAAACAGCAAAGTTGAAACTCTCAAGGAAGATGTGGTGGCGATGAGGGGTGCAATCAAGGAAGAGTTGGCCACGGTCAAGAATGAAATGGTGGCTGTACTAAATGCATTCATACAAAAGGTTGGTACCACTCCGCTTTCTACTACTACAGTTGATGCCTCTTTGCCTGTTACTGCTGCTGCTGCCTCTACAAATCCTGCTAAAACCACAAACCCAACTCAAGAACACTCTACACTAGAACATTTATGTGCTGTTAGGAGATTAGTTTTCGAAAGTGATAGTTAAAATTGTAAAACTTTTATGTTATGTTTTAACATTTTTGATGTATGATATTTTGGTTGATTATTGCATTTTTCTATTTTAAATGATATATGTTTTTATTTTCAAAATTCGAAAATATTTCTTTTTCTCATTTTTAATACATAACCAAAGATAAATTACTAATATTTTGTGGCTATATCAGTCACGCAGTAGCCACGAATGTCGTGGTTATATAGACAAAGATAATCGTGTGACCAATTCGTGATTAATGATGCCACAAATAACAATGACTAATTTGTGGCTATATAGAGACAGATAATCGCGTGACTAATGTTGCCACAAAAAATACTAGTGACTAATTCGTGGCTATGTAACCACGAAAAGCCACGAAATAAATTAGTCACGATTGTATAGACACGATTTTCACGTGATTTTTCGTGGATATAAGACTATATAGCCATGATATTTTTTCGTTAGTCACGAAATAAACAGTGGCTATAACCAGGTTTTTTACTAGTGAATGTACAGTACTAAAGTATCCAGAAGGAAGATTGTGGAGAGATTTGAAGGGTTTGGAAGAACTCCTAAAATTACCAGAAAGTTTTACCAATGTCACGTGGTGAATTATGGTGGAAAGATGGGGGGTTTTGTGGGAGGAGGAAATGCATGATTTTGGCTCTAACAAGAAGTTAATGGCAAGATTGAGTGGTGTGATTTTGTGCTTACAGTTTCTAAGTATTGTCGCTTATTAGAACTTAGCACTGTTACTTTTTCATGAATGAACACGTTAGCCATTAATGTCATTTTGTTTTTACGATGAGGATTTGCTATACGACGTTCCTTTGTGGCTTATTTAAGAGTTATGTTGTCTGTTTAGTGAAGAATCTTATTACCCATCTCAACCTCTAAATTTATTCATATAATCTCACCAGCCGTTTTCATTACTGTACACACTGTAAAATTAATTTAAATTTGACTCATTGGTTTAATGATTCACCTAATTTCATAAAATAATCACTTTAGGTCTCCGCAAGTATACTTTTGTATCTCACAATGCAATCAAACATACAATATAAGTTTGAGTTCACTATAATATTTACGATGTTTTATAAGTATGCTTTCGTATCTTACAACACGATCGCTTCCCTAAGCTAGATTCGTTGAATAAATTCAACATGATTCTAATATCAGACTTTAGTTCATAACGTTAGATCCATGCAATACATCTATACTATTGAAAGAGAATAATTAATTTGAAATGTTTAAAATCTACCATGGTATTTACTAAATGTGTTATTGGATTCACTAGACAATTTCATTAATTCATTAAGGATAATTTAGTCATATCAGTAAGCTGTTAACAAATGTATTAAATTAAATTATATTATATTAGTTTGTTAATAGATAATATCAATAAATTATATCTGATACTAATTAAATTCAAATTAATTTAATTTCAAAAATATTTAAAAATCTTTCATAATATCTTAACATGATTATCACAATATATGGCATGAATAACTAATATAATTATATATATTATATTATAAATTAAATTTATATTATATTATAATCAATTTCTTCTCTATATTATTAAAAGAAAAACACTACTTTTAGAATGTCTAAAAACTATTCTGGTATTTATTAAATGTGACAATTTACACTCAATGATGAATATGTAATCATAATATTTTTTACATATACATACAATGTCCAAAAGATTATGTAAATATATTTTTTTGGTTTGTGAATGATTTGTTTTTGCAAAAAATCATGGGTTTACAGAATTAACAAACACAATTTTGTAGATTTTATGGGTTTTACAAGTTTTATCAGATTTTATAAGTTTTAGTAGATAATATAGTTTTACGAGAAAATGTCGGTTTGAATAGAAATGTGCTTTTTAGATTTAACAGAAATACATAATTTTAGAAATTTGGTCGTAATTCACGATTTTGCAGATTTTACAGGATTTACGGGAAAACACGGGTTTGCGGAATGTGAATAACGCAAATTTGCGGATTTTATCTGTTTTACAGGTTTTAGCGGGAAAATATAGTAATACTGGAAAATGCGAGTTTGTGGGTTTGGAAACTTGACTTGAAGGTTTGGCAGAAACACATGAGTTTATAAATTTGATCGTAAAACACGATTTCACGGTTTTACAGTTTTACGGAAAAACATGGGTTTGTAGATTTGGCGGGCAATTTGATTTGGCAGATTTTACGAGGTTTACATGTTTTGGCGGGTTTTATAGGTTTTGATGGAAAATGTGGTTTTATGGATTTTATTAAAAATGCAGGTTTGCGGGCTTGACAAAAACAGATAATTTTAGAAATTTAGCCATAAAATACGGTTTTATGGTGTTGAGGAAAAACATAACTTTTGGTTTTATTAAAAATTGTGGTTTTACAGTTTTGGCAGAAAAATACAGTTTGATGTCTACGGGGTACAACAACATGATTTTAAAATTTTGCAGAAAATTGAGGCTTTTTATTTTGATAAAAAACCCTGATTTTATATTTTTGACAAAAAAATGATTTGTAATTTAAATTAAAGGATGTTTTGGTCTTTTAGTTTTTGAGATTCAAATACTGCTTCTAAACTCTATTTTTTTAGCATTTTAAATATTCAAATTTTGAGATATTATAGATTTTGTATCCAAATATAACATCCATATACTAATTTAAAAATATTAAAAAATATTATTTGGGCATCTGCATCTAATTATCTGGATGCAAAAACAAACAAAGCTTAAGTAAATATTGAAATCATAATTACAAACAAATAAAATCTCTCTTGCATTATAAAACATATTATTTTAAAATATTTGTTACGAAACTTAACAGAAAATCCGCTAATCAAAAAATATTTTTAATAAAATCGAACAAACTAATTACAAAAGCATAAAACCATAATGTATAAATAGTTTATATAATGTAATAAAAAAATTGTTTGGGCCACAATCTTTGTAAGCATGTTGTTGCTGGTGCCTCTTCTTCTTTGTAACTTCGAGCTTTCTTCTTTTTCACTTAACCACAAGATACAATCATCTTCCCACAATATCATTCTCTTCTTGAAATCATTCCCACTCTTCTTCTCTTATCAAAAGATACAAACATTTATACAATCATCTTACCACAATATCATTCTCTTCTTGAAACCATTCCCACTCTTTTTCTCTTCTCAAAAGATACAAACATTTATAGATTAAACCACTTAACTCTACCCTTTCCCAAAACTCCCAACCTAGTAACAAGCTCAAATGCAAGCTGATGTCTACAGGAGAGCTCCTCCTTGCCAGCCTTATTCCTAATACTTTTTGCCAAGATAAGTTCGAAAATGATACTGCAAGGCTCACAAACTCTCACAATAGTGTTTGGGTTTAGAAGGAAGGATTGGTTCAAGGTATGGTTAACTGTCCCTTAATGATGAGGATCAGATACTTAAATCAACAAGAGTGGTGAAAAGGAAGAAGATGATCCAAATATGTATAATGGTAGCCATGCAATCACTTTCAATGCACAAACAAGATAATTCAAAGTCCAAATTAAGGTTCCACATATATAAAGGTCAAGATCAAATCAAGAAAGCTTCAACTTCAAACAAGAGTTTCAGAATTATAAATCCAAAGAGTGGTTCAGCCTTATTTCAAGTGCTTCATCAAATACATCAAAGGACTCAGAACAAGCGCATCATTTTCATAAACCACTAGCATTTTCAAAGATTCACTATCATTACACCCATTTTAAACAAGCAAGCTACAACCTAAGTGAATGAATGAAGTCTAAATCCTATATGAATGAACATGAACACTCTATTTTTAAGAAACCAATTTTCGAAATTTTTCAAAATTTTAGTGATTTTCTATGCCTTAAGTGCAATGTCTGGTTGTGTAACTATATGTAAATGCAGCTGTGATGAGAATGCAAATTGTTAGTTCCAATAAAACCCTCCCCCACACTTAGAATACACAGTCCACTGTGTACCAGAAATGCAAAAGGAGGCAACCTACAATGTAAAAATGAAGTGTAAAGGAGAATGTGTAAAGAGTAAAGGAAGATGAAGGTGTGTACTTGCATTGGAGGTTGGAGGGGTGAAGGATGGACAGTCATCACAGTGTAGAAAGCCAATGGAGACCATGGGGCAGTGCCATACCTTCAATCCTGGTGTTTTGAAGAGCATTCGTCCATATCGAGCTGGGCTCTCGGTGTTCTGCTCGATGTGCATGCTCTATATGATCACCCTGCTATATCCAACTTACTGTAATCGCCGTATCTCTTTAACCACTGACCAGCATGACCTGATTCAAATTTCATTGGAAATATAACTCATTCCTCTTCAACGTTTATGAAGGACGCGGAGGCTGCATTGCACTGTAAGAGCTCTGTTGGGTCGATAAATAGGGTGGTACGGATGCACCATGTAAGGGAGAGGGTGTTTTCCTCGGCGTACGGTCTTGGCGATTGCATCGAGTAGGGCCTTTGAGATTCTGCTTGATATGGTACCTCGATGTGATCACCATCGTGCATCTAGATCGATGTACAAACTGCTTCTTCCTCAAGATAAACTGCATCGGGCAAAGTTTGCAGAGGTTATGCTCGATATGGTACCCCGATGCAGAAACAAAGCTTTAGTTTTCTTGAATTTTCCACATTGTCTGACATGTCCAACCAATTTTTCCAACCTTAAATCACTTAACAAACATATCAAAAGCAAAAAAAAAGCATATTTACATAGATAGTCATGGGATTACCTCCCAATTGCGTTTTGTTTGAGGTCTCTTAGCTTGACATCTTTTTGCTTGGCTATGTGGGAACACTAAGGAGACTAAGTGTTGTCTCCTTCTTCAGGATCTCTGAGTCTAGGTAATAATTGACCCTTGAGTGGTAAAGAGGTGCCAAGTCCCCTGGTTTGAATTCCTTGTGCACTAAGCGCCAAACACATCTCTTAGGTACCTTCAGCCTTTTGGGAGGTGGCTTGAAGTCATCACCTTCATTATCCGAGCCTGACCTTCCATCCTT